GCCGCCAAATTATCTCCGGAGGGATAAACGGGGACAAAACTCACCATGGAAGGACCCCGGACACCCACAAAGTCTTTGAACTCCTCTCAGGTCAACCAGGACCCCACCAAGCTGGGACACCCCAAAACCCTCCGTCCATTGGGGCAGGAGAAGGTGCTGGCCATGGGATCCCCCTCCGTATCCGCACCCGAGAGCCTGGAGACGGCATCGGCGGCGAAGACGGCGGTGGCCAAACCCTCCATCCATTGGGGCAGGAGAAGGTGCTGGCCAAGGGATCCCCAAAAAGATGTGGCCGCCAGCCAGGGCGAAGAGGAAGCGGACGCCGTGTGCCTTCAGCACCTCCGCCACCAGCTCACCGCCATGCCGGGGGCTTCGGGGATCCACCTGCAACGGCGAAGAGTTCACCGGGAGGACGCGCGCGGTGTCACCATCCCTTTGCCGAGCCACCGGCCGGGAGCGCTTCAAAACCAGGCGTTTTTCGGCAAAACCGCGGCGTTCTCACCCGTTTCGTCCTACCTTATGCCAGAGCTGGTAGAGGAGCCCCAAGCGATACGCCACCCCCAGCAGCGCCGCCGCCAGCACCGCCAGGAGCCCGGCACAGGCGCAACCGATGCCGGCAAGGAGATCCATGGGGATGCCGGTGTGCCGGGAGCTGGAAAACGTTGCCGGGATGGAGGGGAAAAAAAAAAAAACCCAAACCAAACCCCAAAAACCCCATGAGATGGGGTTGCACCGAGCGGGGATGTGCCGAAACCACCACGGCGGCACGGCACGGCGCCACCGGCCCCAAACCTGGGATGGCCCCGGGATGGTGGCGGTGAATTGAACCCAGATTAACCGAGCCCGGTTTAACTGAACGCAATGAACTGAACCTGGTTTAATCGAACCCAGTTTAACCGAGCCCGGTTTAATTGAGCCCAGTGAATTGAACCCGGTTTAATCGAACCCGGGGATTTGAACCCGGTTTAATCGAACCCATAATCGAACCCAATGAATTGAACCTGGTTACGCTGAATCCGGTTTAACTGAACCCAGTTTAATCGAACCTGATGACCTGAACCCGGTTTAATTGAACCTGGTTCACTGAACCCAGTTTAATTGAACCTGGTTTAATGAACCCAGTGAACCCAGCTTAACTGAACCCAGTGAATTGAACCCAGTTTAACTGAACCCGGTTTAAATGAACCCAGTTTAACTGAACGCAGTGAACTGAACCCAGTTTAACTGAACCCGGTTTAAATGAACCCAGCTTAACTGAACCCAGTGAATTGAACCCAGTTTAACTGAACCCAGTGAATTGGACCTGGTTTAAATGAACCCAGTTTAACTGAACCCGATTCATTGAACCCACTTTGATCGAACCCGATTCATTGAACCCGGTTTAACCAAACCCGGTTTAACTGAACCTGGTGATTTGAACCCAGTTGAATCGAACCCAAGGAATTGAATCCGGTGAATTGAACCCAGTTTAATTAAACCCAGTACCACTTCTCCGGCTCAGCCCCGGCGCCAGCCCAAACCCAGCTCATTTGCATAATTACCACCTAACGAAGGCGGCGGCCCGGCGTCAGTCTGCTGCAATTCTTGGCGCGGGCGTAAAGACCTGAGGGGAAGAGGCGGATGATACCCAACCCGTCCTAATTTCCCCCAAAATACGCACGGTTTTAGCCACTTCCCGCACCCGGAGCGGATTCAGACGCCGGATTTTTTTTCCTCGAACCCCAATTTCCCCCTTTTTGGGCTTAAAAAAAAGGCGGGTGGGCGTCGCAGCTCGCCGGCGGCAGATGCAAGAGGGAAATGGGGCAAAAAAAGGCTCAAACTGGGCAAAAATAATCCCATTTTGGGGGCGGTTTTGGGGTTCGGTGTGTGTCGTCCCCCTCCCACCCGGGATGGTGGTACCTGCTGGGTGACGGCGAGGTGACGACGGGTCCCTGTGACCAAGGGGACAAGCTCAGTCCTGGTTTTCTACCCCGTTTTGGCTGCTCCGCTGGTTCCTTGTCCCCTCTGTCCCCATGGCCACCCAATTGTCCCTCCATCCCCGTGGCCACCCTTGTCCCAGTTGCCCCCCCCGGTGTCCCCCCTGTCCCGTCCCCGTGGCCCTTGTCCCAGTTGCCCCCCCCGGTGTCCCCCCCCATGGTGTCCCCCCCCCTGTGGGTGG